CAGAACTTCCATTCAACCCAGCAATCCCATGGCTGGGTATATACCCAGAGGAATCTAAATCGTTCTGCCATAAAGACACATGCAGGTGTATGTTCACTGCAACACTATTCATGATAGCAAAGACATGGAATCAACATAAACGCCCATCCACAGTAGACTTGATAAAGCAAATGTAATACATATACATCGTGGAATACCATGAAGCCATAAAAAGGAACGAGATCATGTCCTTTGCAGCACCATGGATAGAACTGGAGGCAAACTAAGGCAGAAACAGAAAACCGAACACCGCATGTTCTCACTTATACATGGGAGCTCCACAGTGAGAACACAGGGATATTAGGAGGAGAACGGTGGGCACTGGGGCCTACCTGAGGGTGGAGGATGGGAGGAGGGAGAGGATCCGAAAAAATACCTATCGGGTACTAGGTTTATTCCTGGGTGATGAAATTATCTGTACACAATCCCCCATGACATGAGTTTACTCATAAAACAAACCTGCACATGGACCCTCAAATCTAAAATAAAAGTTAACAAAAAATTTTCCTGACCGACCTCTTCAGGAAGAGGGGCAGTCCTCAGTGTCACAAGCAATGCCAATAAAGAACAGGAACGCCACCTTTTTCAACTCCTGGGAGATGAACGCCTGACCCCGCGTTGCTCGCACTCTCGCCCACATCGGCTCTCATCCCCATGCTCCTCGTTCCCGTCACCGGCCTATGCTGTAAACGCCCTAGCAGTCACGATCAGTCACTTCTCTGTCTTACGGGTTTATTTCATTCTCTGTCCTGCAACCGAAGCTCTGCAATGTCTTACCCATGTTTAGAACAGCTCCATTCAATGATGTCACACAAGCCTTTTAAACTTTTCTGGTGGTCACATTTGAAAAGTAAAACAGCAACAAATAATTTCATTATTATTATTATTATTATTGAGATGGAGTCTCACTCTGTCACCCAGGCTGGAGTGCAGTGGCACAATCTTGGCTCACTGTAACCTCTGCCTCCCGGGTTCCAGCGATTCTCCTGCCTTAGCCTCCCAAGTAGTTGGGATTACAGGAACCCACCACCACACCCAGCTGATTTTTGTATTTTTAGTAGAAACGGGGTTTTACCATGTTGGCCAGACTCGTCTCAAACTCCTGACCTCAGGTGATTCACCTGCCTCAGCCTCCCAAAGTGCTGGGGTTACAGGCATGAGCCACTGTGCCCAGCCACTAATTTTAAATGTATTTCTTTAACCCAGTGTATTCAAAATATTATCAGTTCAACCTGTGATCAATATACAAAATTAACAATGTGTTTTGTTTTTTTGGCAGTAATGAATGCCATGTTGGCTTTTATTATTACTTTTTTCTAATTTTACTTTAAGTTCCAGGATACAAGTGCAGAACATGTAGGTGTTACATAGATAAATGTGTGTCATGGTGGTTTGCTGCACTCATCAACCTGTTATCTAGGTTTTAAGCCCTGCATACATTAGCTATTTGTTCTAATGCTCTGACTCCCCTCGACGCCCCCCCTTAAAATTCTTTTTGTTTTTCACACTGAATCTTCAAAGTCTGTTGTGTATCATACAGCACATCTCAATAGCCACATGCAGGCAGGGTGCGGTGGCTCACGCCTGTAATCCTAACACTTTGGGAGGCTGAGGTGGGCATTAGACGATGCAGGTCTAGACGACTGCCTGGTATATTGTGGACACAATTCTTGAATGGACCCTGAGAAATAAGCAGAAATGGTTTTGTTATTCCTAATTTACAGAGTATAATAGATAATGGCAAAAGCGACTTTTATTTGAGTTTATGTCATGTGTCAGGAATAGGCTATGCATACATTTATTATTTCATCTAAAATCTCATCCTCAAAACAAAAGCCTTTTGCAGTGGGAATTATCACTCCCATTGTTTTTTTTTTTCAGTAGAGAAAATTAAGTTTCGAAGGAGCTAAGTGACTGAGACCACATATACACTCATCTTCTGATTTCTGATCCTGTGTTTGCTCAGGATAAGAAATATCCTATATTTCTTTAAGCCAGAGATTAAGATAAAAAAGATTTTCAGGAGTAACCAGTCAATGAAAAGTCAAAATAAATAGTTTTGGCAGCCAGGCGCGGTGGCTCGCGCCTGTAATCCCAACACTTTGGGAGGCCGAGTTGGGCAGATCACTTGAGGTCAGGAGTTCAAGACCAGCCTGGCCAACATGATGAAACCTTGTCTCTAAAAATTCAAAAATTAGCTGGGCATGGTGGTGCATGCCTGTAACTCCAGCTACTCAGGATGCTGAGGCAGGAGAATCGCTTGAACCCAGGAGGCAGAGGTTGCAGTGAGCCAAGATCACGCCACTGCACTCTAGCCTGGGTGTTGGAGTAAGACCCTGAAAAAAGAGAAAAGAAGAAAAGGAAAGAAAAGAAAGAAAGAAGGGAAAGAAAGAAAAAGAAGGAAAGAAAGGAAGGAAGGAAGGGAGAAAGAAGGAAGAAGAAAAGAAGGAAAGAGAGAGGAAGGAGGGAAGGACGGAAGGAGGGAAGGAAGGGAAGGGGAAGGAAGAGAGAGGGTTTTGGCACTATGGAAAGTCATGTGGATGATCCTGCAAACATCCTCAGGTAATTCCAACCTAGGACTTCTCAGGGAAGATGAGTCCTTGTGATACAGGACCAACTGGTATGCATAGAAAAGCAAGCCCTCGGTAGGTCAACCCCCAGATATGCGGGTGAGGTGGGGGCAGCTGTTGGGTCATCTTGAGAGCCTTCCTGGGCATCTCTGGGCTTCCTCAGATACCTACACAAGGGTAGGATGATCAGTCATCAATGGACTTTAGGGACAGCTGTGTGTGTCTTTTTATTTTAAAATAAGAATCTGTCTTGAAGTGCAATAGGTAGGAATGAGGAATGAAAGCTATGGCCAATTTAAATTAAAATTAGGAAAGCTGAACTGTTTAAAATTGATGTTCTTTGGCCGGGCGCAGTGGCTAATGCCTGTAATCCTAGCACTTTAGGAGGCCAAGGCAGGCGGATCACTTGAGGTCAGGAGTTCAAAACCAGCCTGGCCAACATGGTGTAACTCCCTCTCTACTAAAAATACATAAAAGTTAGCCAGGCGTGGTGGCAGGCGCCTGTAATCCCAGCTACTTGGGAGGCTGAGGCAGGAAAATTGCTTGAACCCGGGAGGTGGAGGTTGCAGTAAGCCCCGATTGTGCATCGTGCCACTGCACTCCAGCCTGGGCGACACAGCGAGACTCCGTCAAAAAAAAAAAAGATGTTCTTTGATTTCACAGAGGAACACAAAAACTGACCATGCCAATCTACGCGTCGCTTTTGTCTGGGCGGTTCCTTCTTCCTAGAATGTCCTGCTTCTTTCTGTCTAATTCATGTGAATGAAATTTTAAAAAAATTATTATCCTTGAAAACTGTATTTGCTTAGGCGTTCTGATGTGAGGCCCTCCCGACCCTCCAGGTGCAGTTGCTTCTCTGCTCTGTGTCTCTCTCTCCTCCAACAGCTTGTTCTGCCTGCGCACTATTTGCTGATGTGTTATCTCCAGGGATTCTCGACTTTCTCACCTTCACCCCCAGGGCCTGACAAAACACATGGCAGGTGTGCAAAAGGCTTGTTAGAAGACCTTAAGAAAATTAAAGAAAAGTGGTTTAAAAATAATTGGATAAACAGTGTTTGCCAAAGGAGACTTTTTTTTTTTTTTTTTTTTTTTTTGAGACGGAGTCTCGCTCTGTCGCCCAGGCTGGAGTGCACTGGCCGGATCTCAGCTCACTGCAAGCTCCGCCTCCCGGGTTTACGCCATTCTCCTGCCTCAGCCTCCCGAGTAGCTGGGAATACAGGCGCCCGCCACCTCGCCCGGCTAAGTTTTTGTATTTTTTTTAGTAGAGACGGGGTTTCACCGTGTCAGCCAGGATGGTCTCGATCTCCTGACTTCGTGATCCGCCCGTCTCGGCCTCCCAAAGTGCTGGGATTACAGGCTTGAGCCACCGCGCCCGGCCGAGACTTTTTTTTTTGAGACGGAATCTCACTCTGTCGCCCAGATGCAACCTCCACCTCTCGAGTTCAAGCGATTCTCCTGCTTCAGCCTCCAGAGTAGCTACAGGCGCAGGCGACCACGCCCGGCTAACTTCTGTATTTTTAGTAGAGCTGGGGTTTCATCATATTGGTCAGGATGGTCTCGATTTCCTGACCTGGTGATCCACCCGCCTTGACCTCCCAAAGTGCTGAGATTACAGGCGTGAGCCATTGCGCCCCGCCAACCCATGGAGACTTTTAAAATAACTTGATTTGCTTACAGAGCAAAAGGTCAAATAGGGAGCAGAATTCTAAAACCTGCCTTCTCAACTCAGTTTTCTCCCGGGTCGTGGTGCTTGAGGCACTGGACACGCCCTGGTTAAACACCCACGTGCAGTGGAGCAGGGAGGGGACGCGACCCTTCGGGGGTGTGCGCCCGGGGCAAGGCGAGGAATGCGGCTTCCACGGCCTCCCCTCTCGCCCTCCTTTGTGCTTATTCTAATTCATGAATCCTAACATCTTTCTTCCCACTAAAAAATGTGCATTCATTCATTTGGCCACAGCCCTGACTACAGATCCGCATCCCGGGAGCTCTCGAGGAGCCGCGGTTACCGCACGTGGGCGCCGGGCGCCAGGGGGTTCAAGGGCTTCCCGCGGTGACCCGAGCGCGCCGGGGCTTGGCCCCCGAACGGCGGCCTGGCGGCGGGGAGAGAAGGGGCCCACACGGTCCATCTCGACCTTTCTCTGCGGGGCTCAGGGCTTCAGCCCGGTCAGGTGCGTCTAAGGTCCCGCTCCCATGGGCCCCGCCCCATCCCAGACCTCGCCCGCCTTCGGGACCTCAGCCCTCGCCCCGCTTCTTCAAGTACCGATAGGAAGTTGACGAGTTTGGGCTCGTCGGGGACCGGGCTCCAGGCTCCGCCCGGCGACCCCTCCCCTCCTTAGGCCCCGGCTGTCATCAGGACTCCGCCCAGACGTGCGTCATCTTTCCGCGCCGCGGACGGAAGTGCGGTGGTGAGCGCTGCGGGGTCGCGCCCACGCTGGGCCGGGAGTCCAAATGCTTCCCGGTGCCGGGAGTGAGCGATGAGCTGGCTTGTGTTCCTGGCCCACAGAGTCGCCTTGGCCGCCGTGTCCTGCCGTTGCGGCTCTCGCGGGTTCGGGATGTTCTATGCCGTGAGGAGGGGCCGCAAGACCGGGGTCTTTCTGACCTGGTGAGTGCCCGCCCGCCTAGGCGCCTCCCTGTCGGCACCGGGGTCGAGGGGAGGCCGGAACTCGGCTAACCCTGGCGGCGGGAGCCTGGCGGGTCTAGTGTGTGCCGCGCGCCGTGGCTGTGGGTGGTCGGGGGACCGCCTCGTATTCCTGCTCGGCCGGCGGGGTTCCAGGAGGCTCACGGCCGGGGACTGGACCGCGCCGAAGACTTGTTTGGAAAGGGGTGGCCTAATAAACCCTGTGTTTAATCCTGCATCTTTGTTGCAGTTAAAGTACAACAAAAAGTGACACGCCCTGAGAACTAACCCCCATTACCAGATTTTCCGTACCAGCTAAATTGGGACTGGAACTCAGTACCTAATCTAATCTTCCCTTTTTAAAAAGGTCAATTCGAATAAGCCAGTATTTGCAGTTGGATCCTTGTAACAACCCTTGGAGGTGAGAGGGATCATTCTCACTTGCAGGTGTAGTTCCTGTGGTCAGGAAGTTCCCAGGGCACGAACTGACAGAGAAAGGACTTCAGCCCAGGTGTTCTGCCTCTACCACCAGAACTCTTCCCACTACAAGATACCAGAGTTCGTTACTGTGTTCCACGGCAGCTATAGTGTTGAGGAAGAAGCATCTCAGAAGTTGACCTTTTTGTCGTAATGAAATGGTTAATTTTTTTTTCAAAGACCCCAGTATTTTGTTACGCTTTGAGTTTGACGAAAGCCTTACGGTGCTGGTGTGCTGGCTGGCATACAGTAGAACACAGGTGTAGAGTCTGACGTGCAGGATGAAACTATAAGGCATGATTCTGCCCTTTTCACACTAAAATTGGTCCTCCATATCCAGTTTGCATCCTCAGTTTCAGCTAACCCTAGATCAAAAATATTTGGAAAAAATAAAAATAGAATACAGTTTTAAAATACCCATCAAAAGGCAGTACAACAACTGTATACATTGTATTAGGTATTATAAACTGGAGATGATTTAAAGCATACAAGAAGATGTGTGTAGGTTATGTGCAAATACACCATTTTATGCAAAGGACTTAAGCCTCCTCTGGTGTTGGTATCTGTGATGGGGGTGGAGGACTTCCTGGAATCCGTCTCCCTCAGATACCAAGGGACAACTGTATTTCCAACTTTAAGAATCTTAATAAAAAAGGGGATAAGTTAGGGAAAGAGGAAATAACATTGCACATCTTTTCCAGGAATGAGTGCAAAGCACAGGTGGACCGGTTTCCTGCTGCCAGATTTAAGAAGTTTGCCACAGAGGATGAGGCCTGGACCTTTGTCAGGAAATCTGCAAGCCCAGAAGTTTCAGAAGGTAGTCACCTCTCATGTCAGTCTGACATTTTAACCTATTCAAAGGCTTTCATATGCCAGATGGCATTTGATCTATATAGCTACCCTCTAGGCATGTAGAGAACCTCGAGTGATCATTTTCATTTTACAAATTAGAACAGGCTGAAAGCAGTTACAAATAGTGGTTCATATTACTTACAGTATTAGGGATAAGCCAGGACTCAGTTCTCCTGTTCCATTCAGCCTTTTATGCCATAATTCCTTGTCTTTTAAAAAAAATACTTGTCCAGCCTGGCCAACATGATGAAATTCCGTTTCTACTAAAATGCAAAAATTAGCTGGGTGTGGTGGCGTGCACCTGTAATCCCAGCTACTTGGGAGGCTGAGGCGGGAGAATTGCTTGAGCCCGGGAGGTGGAGGCTGCAGTGAGCCAAGATTGCGCCACTGCACTCTAGCCTGGGTGACAGGGCAAGACTTGTCAAAAAAAAAAAAAAAAAAAAACTTGCATAGTTATTAGACTGAATGGGCTACAGTTTATAGGAATGAGTGTGATTCTTTCATGGCATGCACCTTTATGGTGTTTCCTTTTTATTGAGGACAGAGTCACACAATCTGAATTTTTTTTTTTTTTCCTTCCGTGAGACAGAGTCTCACTCTGTTGCCCAGGCTGGAGTGCAGTGTCACAATCTTGGCTCACTGCAATCCCTGCTTCCTGGGTTCAAGTGATTCTGCTGCTTAAGCTTCCCGAGTAGCTGGGATTACAGGTGCGTGCCACCACACCCGGCTAATTTTTGTATTTTTTTTTTTAGTAGAGATGGGATTTCACCATATCGGCCAAGCTGGTCTTGAACTCCTGACCTCAAGTGATTCACCTGCCTTGGCCTCCCAAAGTGTTAGGATTCCAGGCATGAGCCACCATGCCTGGCCAGTTTCTTCCAATTTTATGTGTTATATAAAGTATGGTTATTCAAAGTTTAAAGCCCAATATAAGATTAATGCCCAATATAATTTGAAGTTTAAAGCCCATTATGCAGACTCAGATGAGTGGGTGACAACTTTAGAGCACAAGATTTTAAAAGTATTTCTGGATCTACACTGAGGAAGTGCTCTTACATGAATGTTACTTACAAACTTTTTACTACAGCAAATTAAAACTGAGCAGAGCATAATTTTAATTACCTTATCTTGAACAGCCTCTCTGGAGGCCACTGAGATGCCTGAACACTGAACAACTGCTCCTTTGAATCATCATAACAATCCTGGACAAAGCACAATTCAGAGAGAGGAAGGTTATGTCCAGAATGGAGCCCTGAAGAGTTAGTTTCCAAAGCAGGGGCGACCCTCACTTAGTGCATCTGCTCCATCCTCTCACTCTTCAATAGCTTTTAAAGGAGGTTCTGCTTGTTTGAGAATGAGGACACATGAACAAGGCTCCTCGATGTGACAGTTCTTACTGCTTACTGCAGTGACAGCCCATAAGCTGAGAGACAAGGTGTTGGGGCAAGGAAGGCAACTTTTTTCCGAGAGCCACCAAGCCAAGAAGATGGTGGACTAATGTCCTGAAGAACCATCTTAAGTTAATAGAACTGGAGACTTCTTCTATGTTAAGGGAAGGGGAAAGAAAGGCGGAGGTGAGATCAGGAGGTGACCGATGAGCACAGACATCCGGATGGCAGCGAGGGTCCAAGGGGATTGTGAAACTTCTCTGTCCTTGGTCAGGCCATGATGCTCCTATAAGTCTTCAACATAACATTGTTACTTGTGTGTGCTCCCTCTTTATCTCCTTGGGGGTTAGTTTTGGGAAAGGACCACTGTCATACTTGCTTTAAACTATAAATTCTTCCCATAGTTCTCTCAGCCTGTATGATGCCACCACGGGAATGTCAGGGGAGAATGGAGGCAGTAATGCTGAGCCTCATCCTTGCTGTTACAGCTGTTCATTTTTCCACCAGATGGAAAAATCAGTTTGAGACAGAAAGCAGGTTTGAAAATATGGCTCTTTCCTTCTTTGCTGGGTTTCTGATACTTCCTTTTCATAATTTTCCTTTTCACGAATTTTTTGTTTTTAACCAATGAGTAATTTATTTGTATCTCAGTTCTGCCAATATAAGTATGTTTCTGTTTTTATTTAGTACTCTAAATCTTAAAGCAAGCTAGTTCCTTGTGAATCTGTTTCTTAAAACTTCAGAGATCTCCTAGTCAGTGACTTAAGACTATAAATTGAGATTTAGTGCCTTTAATGATTCAGATCTGTATCAAAGAAAAAGCATTAGCCTCTTTGACAGTTTTTTGTTTTTTAACAGTACTTTTATCCTTATTTTAGAATTATTGAGCTATTTGCTGGTTCTTATGGTTTATATAAGCTGATTTAAGGTTAATTTACTTAAAAACCACAATTTTGTGAAGTAAAACTTAACTGACAAGTGTGGTTTTTTCCTCCTTCAAAGTCTTGTCTGTTCTGTAGAAAGTGTCCATCTCTGTTACAGTAGGTAAAGCCAGTGTTTGTATCAGTGTTAGGGTTTCAAAGTCTTGTCCTGTAGAAAGTGTCTATCTCTGTTACAGTAGGTAAAGCCAGTGTTTATATCAGTGTTAGGGTTCTACGAAATGACATTTTGACCTGGAGCGGAGTATTTGTGTTTACTTCAGTAGAGCACCTAGAGGCAGGTTTTGGAGGTGAGTGTGTGATAATGAAACCTGGCAGTGGAAACGCCGGCGTTGCTGACAGCCAGGCTGATCACAGTCAAGTGTCGCTCAGGCTCCCTGAGTGCTCCGAGAGGTGTGGGTTGAGAAGCTCCACTAGGCTGGAGATTTGTCTTGTGCCTTTCTAGTAGGTGTTCTGTTTGTGCCCCATTTCTTCATCCTTGGTTTAGGAGTTGAGAGCTGGAGGTGACTCCTGTAGTGTTGGGTTAGGGTTGTTTGCAGGTAGGTGGTGGCTCCTGTGTCTTTATTTTTACACCATAAAATGATAGTGTGGCAAAAGTCATTTCAGATCATCTAGCCCAGGGCTTCATTTTACAGAAGCCCAGAGGGTTTAATTCAGTTGACAGAGTTCACAGCTGATAAAAGGTATAACACAAATTGAAACTCTGGTGTTTTGAGTCGTGGTCTAATTTAGTGATTCTACTTCAGTTTCCATAATATTACCCAGTGAGTGAGATATGGGCCCTTCCCAGATAACCCCGAGATGGTATTAAGAATCTCTTTGGGACTGGGCACGGTGGCTCACACCTGTAATCCCAGCACTCTGGGAGGCCAAGGCGGGCGGATCACAAGGTCAGGAGTTCAAGACCAGCCTGGCCAAGATGGTGAAACCCCATCTCTACTAAAAATATAAAAAATTAGCCAGGCGTGGTGGTGGGTGCCTGTAATCCCAGCTACTTGGGAGGCTGCGGCAGAGAACTGCTTGAACCAGGGAGGCGGAAGTTTCAGTGAGCTGAGATTGCGCCACTGTACTCCAGCCTGGGCACAGAGCGAGACTCTGTCTCAAAAAAAAAAAAAAAAAATCGATTTGGGATTAACTTTGAGTACACCCTGAAGAAAAACTTTGGTGCAAAAGAAGAACTGCAAGAGCGCCCCCCCGAAGGGACCCAGTTGCTTCCTTTTAGTTTCTGGTCTCTGTTTCCTTCTCTTTTTGAGATGGAGTCTCGCTCTGTTGCCCAGGCTGGAGTGCCGTGGCGTGATCTCAGCTCACTGCAATCTCCGCCTCCCTGGTTCATGCCATTCTCCTGCCTCACCCTTCCAAGTAGCTGTGATTATAGGCATGCGCCACCACGCCTGGCTAATTTTTGTATTTTTAGTAGAGATGGGATTTTACCATGTTGACCAGGCGGGTCTTGAACTTGTAACCGCAAATGATCTGCCCACCTCGGCCTCCCAGCCTGTTTCCCTTTCTTAATATGTCCCATTATCTGTTTATTCAAGCTAGACTAACCTGTACCCTCTAAGGCCTCCTAGAGGTTCTTAATTTAGTGTCCATGTAGTTGTATTTGAGGCAGGGAAGGGCTGAACCATGGCCATGACTCATGTTTTTTTAGATTCATTTATTTTTAAGCAAAAGAGTCTCACTATGTTGGCCAGATTGGACTCAAACTCCTGGGCTCAAGCGATACTCATATATCAGCCTCCTAAGTAGCTGGAACTGTAGGCATGCACCACTGCGCCCAGCAACACCACTCATGTTATATACACAATTTTGGACCATGTTTTTCCTGGAGAAAGAGCCCCTTTTTTTTCAAACTGTCCATGATCTCTAAAGGGTCAAGAACTCTTGGTATCATTATCTCCATCAAAACCACACTTTACTTTCTTTTATTTTTTTTTCTTTGAGACGGAATATCACTCTTGTTGTCCAGGCTGGAGTACAATGGCGTAATCTTGGCTCGCTGCAACGTCCACCTCCCCACCTCCCAGGTTCAGGCAATTCTCCTGCCTCAGCCTCCCAAGTAGCTGGAATTACAGGCATGCGCCACCACTCCTGCCTAATTTTGTATTTTTAGTAGAGATGGGGTTTCTCCATGTTGGTCAGGCTGGTCTGGAGCTCCTAACCTCAGGTGATCCACCCACCTCGGCCTCCCAAAGTGCTTGGATTATAGGTGTGAGCCACTGCACCCAACCAACCAGATTTTACTTTCAACAGAAGCCTTGCTCTTGTCTTCACATTGTCTTTACCAAACTTATCTTGAAAAATTTAGAGTTATTTCTCAGAGTATCAAAGTCTGAGATGGTGTGAATGGGGTCATTCCCTTGTAAGTCTGAGATGGCGTGGAGGGGGTTGAGATGGCGTGGAGGGGGTTGGGGCGGCGTGGAGGGGGGGTTGGGGCGGCGTGGAGGGGGGGCTGGGGTGGCGCGGAGGGGAGTCGGGGCGGCGTGGAGGGGGGTCATTGCCTCGTTTCCCTCGTTGTAGGGCCACATACAGAGGGTGTTTTTAAGTCTGATTTAATGATACTAAATAAGACTGAGTGCCTTCATTCTCTAGCATTTCGTGTTATGTTCATTGTTTGCAGCTCACTAGTGGACTCTGTCTTTCAGGGCAGGAAAATCAACATGGACAAGAATTGCAAATGAAAGCCAGCAAGCGACTCCGTGAGCCACTGGATGGAGATGGAGATGAAAGCGCAGAGCCGTATGCAAAGCACATGAAGCCGAGCATGGAGCCGGCGCCTCCAGTTAGCAGAGACACGTTTTCCTACATGGGTACATCTTCCTTGGGTTTTCAAATTTTAATAGAACCATCATGAGCATGTTATGTGTAAAAGGTGTTTCCCACTTAATGGGGAGAGTTTGAGCTGATGTTTATTATTTTCATTCTTATGTGTAAAGATTATTTAGAAATCACTAAGGCCATTATTTTGTAATTGATCAAGTGGTGCAGAATTAAACTTTCGAATGTTCTTAGGAAAACCCTTACATGTAAATGAACAACCGTAATCTTCTGAAATACCAGTGCTCCCTGTGCATGCAGTACTTAACGTTATTAAGATAAAATATGAAGACTCCAGCTTTTTCAAATAAGAAACACCCCGCACGCCGCTGCTTGTTATGATTGATTAGCACCAGCATTTTAACCTTTCATACCCAATCTTTGAAAAACAGGAGATTCTATTTTATCCTGAGAAGCAAAGTAGTAGTGAACTTTTCTGCTACCTTTCACTCCAGGAATCAGTTGTATGTATTTAGTGACTCACAGAATAGAAGTCTCCTTTGTGTCTTTTACACATATGAGCAGAAAATAGAAATAAGTAGCATTAAAAAATATAAATCAGTATATTTATAGGTTCTAATTTAATTCAAGGGAAACCAGTAGAAAATGTTTTGCCAAGCTGTATTATTTATAGATACGTTTTGCAGTTATGTAAAAAAAGATCAAACAAGTATTCTTTATTTGGTGATTTACTAGAAGGAATTGAAGCAAAGATTTGTGGAGTCGCAGGGAGATGAGCCATTTCCAGGCACTGACCATTGCTGGAGGCTCAGTGGCCTGGAACATGGCGGGTGGCAGGTGCTGGCTCCTGAGACAGTTCAGTCGCTGGGCGGCAAGTTTGTAGTCGTTCTCATACAGTCAAGTTCCAGCTGAACTGAGGAGCCGTGCCCGACACCCACACTCCCCTTGGCTCTCAGCCCCGCTCCTGTGAGGAGCATGTCCCCATCCCTGCCCCTTCGCCACCGCTGAGCTCAGTTTGCTGTCCTTCGGACACATACTTCCACTTCCTGCGCATGTCACCTCTATTTGCCCTCTCGCCCAGCTCTTTTAACACTTTGCAACCTGACCTCTGCTCCCACCACACTGCTGAAGTGTCCTGGTCAGTGGCCTGAGAGTGCCCCCATCCGTCCTTTTTTACCTTGTTCTTTATAGCATTGGTGTGTCAATCACACCCTCTATCAAGAGGGAAAGAAGCAAAGACAGGAACCATATTTAACTAGCGGCAAATATACCAGGGAAGAAATTGGACCAGCCCTGGTCAGGAGACTGGGCCCTCTGGCAGGCAGGGTCACCGTAACGCTGAGGCACTGCTTGTCTCTGGGAGGATGCTCCCTGGGAGTGAAGGTGACCCTGCCATGGAGACAGAGTCATTGTCCTTTGAACCCTCAGTGTGGGGTGTGAACAGTAGTTCTTTGCAGCAGGCCCTAGTTTGACAGAGTGACTGCCTTCGCCCTGAACCTGCCTGGCCTACCAGATCAAAATGTAAGCGGATTCCTAGCATAGATGGTAGGTGCCCCCTCGTAAGGAATTGAGCACGTTTACCCAGAGAGGAAACGTCTGCAGCGCTATAAAATGCCCTCGGGTTAAAATGCTAACTCGACCTAGGGGATTTTTGAGGTGAATTTCAGTTTTCAGTAAGGTCAGCCCAGCAGTATTTACTTCTCTTTTCCCACAGGAGACTTTGTTGTCGTCTACACTGATGGCTGCTGCTCCAGTAATGGGCGTAGAAGGCCACGAGCGGGAATCGGCGTTTACTGGGGGCCGGGCCATCCTTTGTAAGTAAACAAAGCAAGCGGAGTTTTACTGAATCATGTTCCCACAACTTGTGAAAAGATGAGGCGGGATCTGCTTATTATTTGATTATTGGGAAAACCTGCAGATGAATAGCTCTGGCAGTGGGTAGCAGAGGAGCAGCTTTGGTTCGTGTTAGGGCTAAGCGGCATTGCTTCTCAGAATGTCAGGTACCTCAACTTTACTTCCTTTGCTTTTTTTTTTTTTTTTTAAAGACAGGGTCTCACTCTGTTGCCCAGGATGGAGCACAGTGGCACAAACACAGCTCACTGCAGCCTCAACCTTCTGGGCTCAAGTAATCCTCCCACCTTGGCCTCTCGGAGTGTTGGGATTACGGGCGTGAGCCACCACACCTGGCTTTGGCATTTCTTTCTTGCCCTGTGGAGGAGTCTTTTTTTTTTTTTTTTTGAGATGGAGTCACTCTGTCACCCAGGCTAGAGTGCAGTGGCACGATCTTGGCTCACTAGAAGCCCCGCTTCTCAGGTTCACGCCGTTCTCCTGCCTCAGCCTCCCGAGTAGCTGGGACTACAGGCACCTGCCACCATGCCCGGTGAATTTTTTGTATTCTTAGTAGAGACGGGGTTTCACCGTGTTAGCCAGGATGGTCTTGATCTCCTGACCTCGTGATCTGCCCACTTCAGCCTCCTCCCAAGAGGAGTCTTTTTTTTAGTAGAGATGAGGTCTCACTATGTAGCCCAGGCTGGGCTCACATTTCTGGGCTCACGTGATCCTTCCGCCTTGTCCTCCCAAAGCGCTGAGATCACAGGTGTGAGCCACCACCCTGGCCCAAAAATTGCTCATTCTTTTAGGAAACTGGATCTCCTGGTGACCCCCATTTTAAATAACTTGTCTGAGGATTTTTTGGTTCCATGATTTCATTTCCTCCTTTACTTCTTGGAGGTTTTTAGTAGCTTAGTCTTGCTGATGTGACCTCACTTCCTCTTGACTCTGCAGTCACATGGCACACTGGGAGATGGTCTTGGGAGGCATGCACAAGGGGGCAGTCTCCGGACTTGGAAGCCGTCACATCACCAGACTGTCTTCGAGGTGATGCTTTGTGTTTCAGAAGGCACACAGGGTGAAGTGAAGTACGATTATCCAAACACACCTAGCCCCTGGATGTGAATGAACTTGAACTGTAGTGGGTAGCCCTAAGATTCAGTGTAGAGGACAAATTTCAGCTCTGCAAAATCACCATGCACCGATGCCGACCTGCATTCTCCAGTATTTACCTGTGCCCACGAATGCTGTGAGGCAGATTTGATGTAATTATTCCATAATAATACCACTTTACATTTCTGTTGCACTGTACAGTTTACAAAGTTCTTTTACTTTTTTTCACGTTACCATTTCATTTTAGCTTGGAACCCTGGAAGAGGAGGCAAGCGTGGGTCGCACTGAGTATCCGTGGGCTTAGCGCTTGCCCAGGATACATGCTAATGCCTCTCAGGTCCAGAAATTCAACGTCACTCCTGACTTCTGACTTCTGGTCCGGTGTTCCTTCTATGATGCCATACCATGGTGTTTTTCAACAAAGTGTTAATATTGTGGGTTTGATTTTTTTTTTCCCCTCATCGATTTCATATTTTACTGTCATCACACTGGGCTGGGAGAGGATGGGGTTGTACCGCAGTGTATACAATTGCTATTCTGTTGTCTTTCATACAGAATTTCAAGATCTAGGTTCTAATTGTCTGTAAGTTGAGGGTTTGGATCAGAGTCAGAAGACATCAGCTGCTTCTGTTTCTGCTGGGGGCTACGGGGAGTATGGCAGGAAACATAACTAGAGCTGACCACAGAGGGTTCATGTTCCAGGGTCCCATCTGGATACCTGAGGATCCTCCATGGAGATCATGGCTGGGCTGGGAGCTGCGCCTCAAAGCAAATGGGATGGCACAGACCTGGGGCTGGTTCTCAGAAGCTGGAAGGACAGACATTGTCTGTTTGTTTGTATCCAGAATCGTGTGTGTGGCCTCTTTGGAAGCACGGGGCCATGGAGGCTCCTGGGCCTCAGGTTGGCCTCGTGGGCAGTTCAGTAGGAATCCTTCAGACTTCCCGTCTGGGGACATTGTTACCAGCTCTTCTTTCTGTGCCTGTGTTTGAGATGCTGGGCACTTGATTTAGACCAGCAATCTCCAACCTTTTTGGCACCAGGGGTCAGTTTTGTGGAAGACGATTTTTCCACAGGGCATGGGGCGAAAGGATGGTTTTGGGATGATTCAAGCATACTTACGTTTATTGTGTACTTTATTATTATTACATTGTAATGTATAATGAAAGAATTTTACAACTTGCTCCTAGAATCACTAGGAGCCCTGAGCTTGTTTCCCTGCAGTTAGACGGTCCCATCTGGGGTGATGGGACAGTGATAGATGATCAGGCAGTAGATTTTCATAAGGAGTGCGTAACCCAGATCCCTTGGGTGCACAGTTCAAGGTAGGGTTCATGCTCCTGTGCACATCTAGTGCCACTGCCGATCTGACAGGAGGCTGAGCTCAGGTGGTAATGTGAGTGATGGGGAGTGGCTGTAAACACTGATGAAGCTTCGCTGGCTTGCCCACCTCTCTCCTGCTGTGCAGTCTGGTTCTTAGGCCACAGACTGGTACCAGTACATGGCCTGGGGGTTGGGGACCCCTGCTTTAGACCATTTATTATTCTTCTGCCTCAACTTCTTTGCATTCAAAAAATGCCCATTCTTTTTTGTTTGCTTGTTATTATTTATTAATGAGACAGGGTGTCACTCTGTTGCCCGGGCTGGAGTGCAGTAGCATGATCATAGCTCACTGCAGCCTCAAACTCCCAGGCTCAAGTAATCCTCCTGCCTCAGCCTCCCGAGTGACTGGGACTATAGGTCCACACCACCATGCCCAGCTAATTTCTTTTTTTTTTTTAAGTAGAGATGAGGTCTCACTATGTTGTCCAGGCTTTTCTCAAATTTGTGGGCTCACGCAATCCTCCCACCTTGTCCTCCCAAAGTGCTGGGATTACAGGTGTGAGCCACCACGCCTGGCCCAAAAATTGCTCATTCTTTTTAGGAAACACTGGATCTCCTGGTGACCCCAAATTTTAAATAACTTGTCTGAGGGTTTTTTCTGGTTCCTTGATTTCATTTTCCTATTTTACTTCCTGGAGGTTTTTAGTAATTTCAGTCTGAAACCTCACTCTACATTCTTCTTCCTGAGTTTTCTCCTGGGATTCTTCCTGCTGCAGCCATAGGGCCTAACCCAGGGTCCGCAGAGAACTAGCTCTTACTTCCTCTGCCCTAGTGGAACCCATGAGAGTCAGAACGTGCCCGAGTGTGGAAACCTGTTTGCTCCTCTCTGCTTCTGGGAGTCTCTCTGTTAGTTTGATTTTTATATGATACTTTTATATTTCAAATAAGTATACATACTAGTTTGTTATCCATTAAGAAGAATCACTTTGAGAATTCACTTTATAATTTTATTTTCTTTTGTACTGTTTTGAAACAGAAATGTAGGCATTAGACTTCCTGGGCGACAGACAAACCAAAGAGCAGAAATTCATGTAAGTTATCAGATACATTTAAGCCTCTCATTTTTGAGCGTTGAGTATGAACTTATAAACTAATTCTTTTTTTTTCTACGTATATATACAAGATATTTGAAGAAGAGACGTTGGTTTAATAGCAATTTTGAAAAATAGGAATTTTGTAGAAAAATTGTAAAAACTTATTTCAGATAGATGTCTGCACAGGAGAATTGTATGTATAGTAGTGTTTCATACAGAGAATACGATCTTCACAGTACAGAGGGGATGTTTCAATTTTGAAGTACTTTTGAACCTCAGTTATGTCAAAGTTGAACATTTTCTGTAGCATGACTATCGACTTGTCTTTTCAAGGCAGCCTGCAAAGCCATTGAACAAGCAAAGGCTCAAAACATCAGTAAACTGGTTCTGTATACAGACAGTATGTTTACTATAAACGGTAAGCTTTCACATTTGATTTCTTCTGTTTTTCCAGTAACTGAAGGGAAATTGGTAGGAGGTGTTGTAACAGGGCAGGACCCAAATGGGAACGGTGAGGGGGATGACATTGGTGTGTCAGGTATCAAGCAAAGAGTGAGGATTTTGGAGTCTGCCTTCTGCTGCTCTGATGTTTTCCACGTGCTTATTTCTTCGCCAGGCACTGGAGGTGCAGTGAGAAGTGGAAGTGGCTCTGCTCTAGTGTTACTTCTAGTCTGTGTGTGTATAAGTCACTTAAGATGGCGTGTTGACTGCTTCTTTGGGAAATGCCCTGAATAGGAGCATGTAGGGGATGCTTATGAGACTGGGGAAGGCTCCTGGGAAAAATGACATCTTAAGCTGACAGCTGTAGGTAGAATACAAGTTAGGGGAAGGGGAAGAGAAGCGGGTGTTTCAGGCTGTGCCAAAAGCTAAAGCACTGAGGCCAGCTAAGGAAGTGAAGAGTCAAGGATGGTGACTCAGAATACAAGTGGGATCAATTATAAGAGGTAAGACTAAGGAGGTGAAAAAGGCAGGACACTCAAGATTGACTCACCAGTGATCATGCATTTTGGTAGGTATAACTAACTGGGTTCAAAGTTGGAAGGAAAATGGGTGGAAGACAAGTGCAGGGAAAGAGGTGATCAACAAGGAGGACTTCGTGGCACTGGAGAGGCTCACCCAGGGGATGGACATTCAGTGGGTGAGTATCTTAAATGTTCATGTCTTATGGCTATTATGACCAAATAAGCTAAGTTTACTAGAGATTAGTGGTTTATGTAAGTGGTTTCATGACATAACAATTTCCATGCAATTAATATCATAATGTATATTAAAACATATTTGAGGCCGGGCACAGTTTCTCATGCCTGTAATCCCAGCACTTTGGGAGGCTGAGGTGGGTGGATCACAAGGTCAGGAGTTCAAGACCAGCCTGGCCAGTATGGTGAAACTCCATCTCTATTAAAAAATACAAAAACTAGCCAGGCATGGTGGTGTGCGCCTGTAGTCCCAGCTACTCAGAAGGCTGAGGCAGGAGAATCACTTGAACCCAGGAGGCCGAGATTGCAGTGAGCCGAGATTGCGCCCCTGCACTCCAGCCTGAGCAACGATATGAGACCCCAAGACTCTGTCTCAAAAAAATAAAACTATTTGAGGCTGGGCACAATGGTTCACACCTGTAATCCAGCACTTTAGGAGGCCCAAATGGGCTGACTTCTTGAGCCCAGAAGTTCAAGACCAGCCTGCATAACATAGTAAGACTCTGTTTCTAGAAAAAATAAAAAATTAGCCAGGTGTAGTGGTGCATGCCTGTAGTCTAGTTACTCAGGATGCTGAGGTGGGAGGATGACTTGAGCTGGGGAGGTCAAAGTTGCAATGAGCCAAGATTTTACCACTGTACTCTAGCCTGGGCGACAGAGCAAGAGCCTGTGTCAGAAAAACAAACCCACCCACATATACACATTTGATTCTTTCCCTTATCATACAAGTAATATGGTTTTTTGGTTTGGTTTGGTGTGGTTTTTGAGACAGAGTCTCACTCTGTCACCCCGGGCTGTGGCGTGATCTCATTACAACCTCTGCCTTCTGAGCCCAGGTGATTCTCATGCCTCAGCCTCCCAAGTGTCTGGGATTACAGGCATATGCCCACACACCTGGCTAATGTTTGTATTTTTAATAGCGATGGGGTTTTGTCATGTTACCCAGGCTGGTCTTGAACTCTTAACCTCAAACGATCCACCTGTCTTGGCCTTTCAAAGTACTGGGATTACATTTGTTTTGTGTCACTTCCTATATATTTTTATTTTATGATAAAAAGGTTTACAACTAAATAAATAATCATGTCAAACTTTTATTTATTGTTTTGAGACAGAGTCTCGCACTGTTGCCCAGGCTGGAGTGCAGTGGCGCAATCTCAGCTCACTGCAACCACAAGTAATGCAGTTTTAGTGAGAGTATCACTAGGCATAGAATACATAGGCAGTGTGGTTTGAGGGATGCTCTACAAAACTTACATTTTGTTAAGAACACAAACTAACACGTAATCTGAGCACATGACATTACTATGACAGCTGTATGTCACCCTGTTTGTTTCTTTGGAATGCATCATAATGTTAAATAAAACTATCAGTGTATTTTGTTTCAAACAATAGTAAGGTTGTGTGATTAAAGCCTTGGTAATAGAACTTTTATTCCAAGATGGAAGCATTTTTTAAAATTATAGATCGTGTTTATTAAAAAGTTTTTTTTTAAGCAATACAGAACAAATTAAACTGCAACCATTGTCTCAACCCTGCCTTGGTCTGCCTTCCCGGAACCACTGATAACAGTTTGGTAGCCTGATGTGTAAATTTGCTTTGGCAACGTAAATGTAGACAGTAGTTAAATAAGTACATTAGTTTTTCTGACAGCACTGCAAGGGAAGCATGTGTGTGTGTGTTGCATACATATCCGTCCACCCATCTGTACATACATGTGTTTTGCCTGGAAAGCTTATCAAGTCCCATTGATAAGTGGGGGAGGAAATAGCAATATGAACGGTAAAATCCAATTTGTAGAAAAACAAAATGGAATGTTTGTAAATACATCCGTTGCGTAAACGCATGAAGAATCAACAGTGTGCTGCTGAGGATCACGTTTGGGGAGAGGAGCGTCGAAGTTGAGCTTACGCTATGCAGTCTGTTCTGAATGTTTTTTTATGGTGAGAATATAGTCATGTGTTGCTTACGTAAAGATGAGTAAAAATAAAAGGAAAACATTTATCTTAACAGATGCACGTTCCTGGTCATTCGGGATTTATAGGCAATGAAGAAGCTGATAGATTAGCCAGAAAAGGAGCTAAACAATTGGAAGACTGAGCCATGTGACTTTAGTCCTTGGGAGAACTTGAGCCAGTGGCTGTCTTGCTGCTTGTGCTTACTGGTGTGGAAAACAGCCTGCAGGTGGGACCATCGCGGTGATGGGCAGATGCGTCTTTCACACGGAATCAGGCACAGTGGCCTTCTGTGACACGTTTTCATAAAAAATGGTTAAGTATATAATAAATTGAACATCTTTGAGATTGGAGAATTATGTGAGATTTCTGCATTATATTTACTGGGTTCGATACTGTTCTTGCTTGTTTTATTGCAGGCAAGCAAGGCAAATGGCCTAAAATTCTGTGGCTTATATTTTGATAAATCAAAAAACCATTGGTTAAAAGATGCAACTCAGAAATCTAGAAGTGATCTGGAAGCTTCCATTTACCATCCAGTCGACAGGACTGAGCCTGCTGCTTGTATAGGTGACTTGTGCCCATGGGTACCTTAGAGAAACATGCTGCCCAGGGCCTGGGCGCGCAGCTCAGTGGGCAGGGCGTAGGCTGGGTCTCAGCCCCATGTGCCTGCTTGCTGGGCACTTAGTATAGGGCAAAGCCTGCCTGCAGGCGACCCTGGCTGCTAAGCCATTCTCTAGGAACAGCTATGACTTGTAAAGACTAGAATGTATAAAGAAATATTTCAAAAATCTATTTGACTCTTTTGTTTAAAACTGTGCAAATTTAAAAAAAACACTGGTTTGGCACGGTGGCTCACTTCTGTAATCTCAGCACTTTGGGAGGCCAAGGTGGGCAGATCACTTGGTCAGGAGTTTGAGACCAGCTTGGCCAACATGACGAAACCCTGTCTCTACTAAAAATACAAAAAGTATCCAGGTATGATGGCATGGGTCTGTAGTCCCAGCTGCTTGGGAGACTGAGGCACAAGAATCACTTGAACCAAGGAGGCGGAGGTTGCAGTGAGGCGAGATTGCGCCACTGCACTCCAACCTGGGTGACAGAGTAAGACTCTGTCTCAAAAAATAATAATAATAACAGTTTGACATGATTATTTATTTAGTTTTAAACACTTTTATCATAAAAACATACAGGAAGTAACACAAAACAAATGTATAGCTTATGAATGATTATGATTGTAAGGTGAATACCTTTGTGTCCACCACCCAGGGAAGAAATAGTACTTTGCCAGATACCCCAGAAAGCTCTCCAAGTGCCCCTCCAGCCATAGCCCCCTTGTTCTCCTGCTCCTTGCCCCCAGAAGTAATCCCGACTTTTACAGAAATGACTTTCTTGGTTTCTCGATGGCAGTTTAGTCTTGTCTGCTTTTTTTTTGTTTGTTTTTTTTAACTACTTCAGTGTCCATTTGCAGTCCCGTCTGTCTCGCTGTTTTCCCTGCCATTTATCTGTTGAAGAGCCTGGGCTGTTTGTCCCATGGCTTCCCACAGGGTAGATTTTACTGACCACGTGGTCATGGTGCAGTTCAGCATGGCCCTCTATCTTTCCTGCACATTGGCAGCTGGGTCCAGAGGCTTGATGAGCCTGAGATTTGATCCCTTTGGCAGAAGAATAGGCAGTTAGGTGCTTTGCTCAGGAAAGCGCCATGTTGACAGCAGCTGATGCTCAGTGCCAAGATCTGTTAATTATTTGGGGTTGTAAAATGGTGGTATTCTTATTCTGTCATTTTGTTTGCCTTTATTAGCTGGAATGGTTTTCTAAGAAAGTGTTTTCTTTTTTATGCTTGTTTGGTTACCCCGTGGTACAGTTCATATAGGAAGGGCAGGATAAATGCTTGATTCTTTGCTCTTGTACACTAAGTTTTTAAGATAATGCACTAGTTGTCTGTCAAGGAAGGTGAGCGGTGAAGGGTTTTTACTTATATACAAGAATTCATGGGCATGGCATGGTGGCTTATGCCTGTAATCCCAGCACTTTGGGACGCTGAGGCGGGAGGATCACGTGAGCCCAGGAGTTTGAGACTAGCCTGGGCAACATAGCAATACCCTGTTTCTACAGCAAATTAAAATAAAATCAGGTGGGTGTGGTAGTGCTTGCCTGTTGTCCCAGCTATTCTGGAGGCTGAGATGGGAGGATCGCTTGAGCCCAGGAGGTCGAGGATGCAGTAAGCCGTGACCATGCCACCGCACTCCAGCCTGGGTGACAGCAAGTCTTTGTCTTAAAAAAGAAAAAAAAAAAAAAGAATTTGTGGAGTTAAGCATATTTGGTGGATTTCAATCCATTGTGATTTTTATCTTTATTTAACTCAGACAAGCTTATTTGGTGAGAGGGAGCCTCTTCAGCTTGGCTCTTGATTTCTTTTGGTAAGCGTGCATACGTGCACATACATGTGTGCACAGGCCACATGCACAGTTATTGATAGCTCCCTGCAGCCTGGCATGTCAAGATGCTCTAGGCCCATTTTATACAGCTTCTGCTCCAAACCTGTCTTAAAAGGAAAACCTTAGACAAGTTAGCAGTTTAATTGAGCAGAAAATAATTTCTTCAGCCGGGTAGCACTCAGGACCAAAAGTGGTTCAGAACGCTCGCCTGCGCATTGTGTGCAGGCTGTATTTATAGCCAGAGGAAGGGAAAGACACATGTACCTGGCCAGACTGACTGCAGGTCAGCCTCCGCCTCACATAGGCATGTTTTGGCAGCCGTCAGCCTGTGATTGGTGAGACTCGGCTGCTTGTACAGAAGTGTACTCTTAAGTCAGGTCCCAGTTTGTGTATACATTAACTGAGGTTATAAGTCACTATGTACAGAGGCAGTTTTAGGCCAAACTTAATTCCGTTTAACACTTGGAATCCATTATTTTTCCCAGAGTCTCTGGTAGAGATGGTATTTCAGATCCACAGTTGAGGATGCTCATTGCTATCGGGTTGGTCATTGTTTCTAGACTTTTTTTGGACAGAGCTTTAAAAAAATACAAACATTGCACACACATTTAAAGGAAAAAATATTTTCTAAGCCTACATTGATATTCCCAATACAAATTCAGGGTTCTGGGGCCTTTACGTAGCCTCTTCTATATGATATCTGTGCCTCCTGCACTCAGAATCCTGCTTCTCAAGACACAGGACGATGGCATGGAATATCCCGTAATCACTCACTTGTTTTATTCCTCTTTAACATTTTGCATTTAAAACAAATATAATACCGTAGCATTAATTGTGATGATGAAAACAGCACATTGTCAGAAAAGTCACTCTCTTTTACTGCCATTGACTCATTCCTGTGTTTTCAGTTCTCATAACCGGTCTATAGTCAGTGTCATCTTGGGGACAGTATTCCTTGAGTTTCTGATGTTGAATTCAGTTTTGCCGGATACAAAATTCTTGCCTCAGATTTTCTTTGAGTATCTTGTTTTATTCTGTTATCTTCCAGCATAAAGTGATGCATGAAAAGCCTGGTGAATCTTATTTTCTTCCCCTGACAGTCATATGCTGTTTTTACTTAGATGCCCAGAGGATTTTTTCCTTTTTCTGTCAAGCCGGCAGTTTGATTCGAACGTGGCATGTGTTGGTATTGGTTGTCCTGGTCCGTACTTGCAGGTGTATGGTGTGCTCTTTCTATGTGTACTTCACATCTGTTATTTTAAGATTTGCTTGAACTGGAGTTTAGTGTTACATTTTTCTTGCTTTGGCTTTTTTCTTTTTCTTTTTTTTTTTTTTGAGACGGAGTCTTGGTCTGTCGCCCAGGCTGGGGTGCAGTGGCACAATCTCGGCTCACTGCAACCTCCACCTCCTGGGTTCGCGCCATTCTCCTGCCTCAGCCTCCCGAGCAGCTGGGACTATAGGTGCTCGCCACTACGCCCGGCTAATTTTTTGTATTCTTTAGTAGAGACGGGGTTTCACTGTGTTAGCCAGGATGGTCTCGATGTCCTGACCTCGTGATCCGCCCGCCTCGGCCTCCCAAAGAGCTGGGATTACAGGCGTGAGCCACCGCGCCCGGCCGCTTTGGCTTTTTTCTTTGGGGTTTCCTGTTATCTGTATGTTGAAATCTGAGTTGCCTGTTTCCAGGCAACTTTGCCACTGTCTCTTGAATCTCTTTTATCTCTTTTTTTGTTTCTGTTTGAGTTTTAAAAGTTGTTACTGTACCACTTTTGTTTTGTTTTGTTATTTAAAATAGAAACAGTGTCTCACTCTGTTGCCCAGGCTGGTCTTAAACTCCTGGCCTTAAGCGATCCTCCTTCCTTAGCCTCCCAAAGTGCTGGGATTACAAGTATGAGCCACCAAACCCAGCCCCACCTTGCTTTTTAAAACAGCTCTGTTGAGGTGTAACTGACAGAATGAATTGCACGTATGTGAAGTGACTGATGCATTTGCCTGTGAAGCTATCACCAGAAATGTCCATCACCGCCAACAGCATTTTCACACCCCTTTCTAAACCGCCCCTTGTGTCCCCCATGCTTAGGCAACCACTGGTCTGCTCTTTCTCACTAAACGTTAGTTTATATGTTCTAGAGTTTTATATGAGTGGAATCACAGAGCAAGTACCATGTCGGGAGGTGCTGCTTTTACTCACCATAATTATTTTGGCATTCACCCGTTTTGTGTATATCAATAATCCACATTTTATATTGCATGGATATACCGCAGTTTATTTATTTACTTGTTGACCAATATTTCAATTGTTTCCAGTTTCTAAGTAAAAATAAAGCAAAGCTGCCGTGAACATTTATATCCTTGTCTTTGTCGTCTGTTTCTCTTGGGTAAATGCCTTGGAACAAGGAGTGCCTGGGTCATATGGCAGGTGTGTGCTTTTTTTTCTTTTGAGACAGAGTCTCACTCTGTCCCCCAGGCTGGAGTCCAGTGGGGCCATCTCAGCTCACTGTAAGCTCCACCTCCCAGGTTCATGCCATTCTCCTGCCTCAGCCTCCCGAGTACCTGGGACTACAGGCGCCGCCACCATGCCCATCTAATTTTTTGTATTTTTAGTAGAGACGGGGTTTCACCGTGTTAGCCAGGATGGTCTCAATCTCCTGACCTCGTGATCTGCCCACCTTGGCCTCTTCAAAGTGCTGGGATTACAGGTGTGAGCCAGCAGGTGTGTGCTTTTTAAGAAACTGAAACTCCAAGTGTGAACTTTAAATTTTACATTCCCTCCAGCCAGGCAGGAGAGTTCCAGTTCACTCCACATCCTTGTCAGTTCTTGTCACCTCATTCTGTTACAAATGTCCGTGAGTTTTATGGTTTTGCTGTTTAGTAGTTCTATTTTTAGGTGAGGATTTGAGAAGATTCAAAAAGCAATCTCCTACTGCTGCCTCTGCCTTCTGAGAATCTGTGATTTAAAAACAAGAAAGGTTGAACCAGAACTGGAAATACAGAGATGAAAAGTTGTGCCTCTAGAAACTTTACAGTCTGGGATTTTCACAAATATGAATGATGTTGGCTGGGCCTGTAATCCCAGCACTTTGGGAGGCTGAGGCGGGTGGATCATGAGGTCAGGAGTTCAAGACCAGCCTGAAAAAGATGGTAAAACCCCATCTCTACTAAAAATACAAAAATTAGCCAGGCACGGTGGCAGGTGCCTGTAATCCTGGCTACTCGGGAGGCCGAGGCAGAAGAATTGCTTGAACCCAGGCGGCAGAGGTCACAGTGAGCCAAGATCACGCCACTGCACTCCAGCCTGGGTGATAGAGTGAGATTCTGTCTCAAAACAAAAACAAAAACAAAAAAAACAAAAAAAAGCTATGTCAGTACAGCAGAAAGCTCATGAAGCCGGAGGGAAGGAAAGGTCCAACCACTTTTAGTTAAAAGACGAATCATAAAGTTTTAGGGGGCAATTTTTTTATTAAAAGAAAATGAGAATAAAAAAATCAGCTGTATTTTTTATATCTAGAAGTTTACAGTGATACATAATTGCATCTTAATCAGCTCCAACTCAGAAAATATTTGAGTGACTGTTATGTCAGATTGTGCTACATATTGTGGAATATATAAGCTTTCAACTGGTGCTACTTTAATGGGATGTTCGTGCCGTACAAATAGAGGCTGTTGAAGAAGTGTTCTTTTTTTTTTTTTTTTTTTTTGAGACAGAGTCTTGCTCTGTCGCCCAGGCTGGGGTGCAGTGGCCGGATCTCAGCTCTCTGCAAGCTCCACCTCCCGGGTTTACGCCATTCTCCTGCCTCAGCCTCCTGAGTAGTTGGGACTACAGGCGCCGCCACCTCGCCCGGCTAGTTTTTTGTATTTTTTAGTAGAGATGGGGTTTCACCGTGTTAGCCAGGATGGTCTCGATCTCCTGACCTCGTGATCCGCCCGTCTCGGCCTCCCAAAGTGCTGGGATTACAGGCTTGAGCCACCGCGCCCGGCCTGAAGAAGTGTTCTTTGTGCAGAGCTCCCCTCCTGGTGTCTGCGGGTGCCGGAGCATCCCGGTGTCGCCCCATTGCTGAAGCCTGAAGATAGCCACTCTGCCATCTTGTAGGACAGGCACAAAAGTGCACGAAGCCGGAGGTCAAACAAAACGAGAAAGAAAAAGCCCTCGTGGCCAGTGGACAGCTTGGGTAACTGTAAATAGGAACCAGTGGAATCTGCACTCCTGATTCAGGTGATGCTGTTCATTTCAAGTTGAGCAAGTCTGGGCCTCAGATGATGTGTCTGAAAAGGAGGACCTTGGTGTAGATTTCCGGTCTCTTTCCTAATTCTAATATTCTAGTACTTCTGGAGCGAGAAGGAATAGGTCACTCAACTGAAGCTCCTTTTTTATTAACGTGATGAATTGACATTCAGGACTCAGGAAAAGGATGTCATCAGAACAAAACGTGTAGCAATTATCATGGTGGTTGTGGTTCCTCAGTTCGTAAACACTCAGGAGTAACACGGGGAGGGCCGGCTACAGCTGCCCGCATTGTGTCTCCTGGCACACAGAAGACACTATGCTGGGTGAATACCTGGCCAGCTCGTTACAGCAGCTTTCGTTCTTAATTGCCCATTGAGAGACAGGAATTAGCACAAGGCGACTCTGATATTGTGTTGACATAAGTATTTGTCAAAGAACAACTTTCATCAAAATATGCCCCCAAATTAACATTCTTTGGTGATACGGGAAGCCGCCAGTATATGGTGGTAGGGTTTTGGACAAAGACAAATATGAATGAAGTGGAAAACGGAGAATGGACTGCTTTCTCTACCCCCAGCTGACAGAGCTGTTCTCTAAACCTAAATATGCACAGATTCGTGTATATTAAAGGCAGTACCTCAACTGTAAACAAGGGTCTTTAACCTAGGATTTAACATCCAGCAACCACTAAAGACGACTACATATAAATAAAAAGCGTAATATAAAAAAGGGTTTTGAAGAGCCATAAGCAAAAACAAACTAGGAAAACAATTTGCAATTCTTATCACAAAGGACTAATTTCCCTAATATATAAGAACTAGAAATTGAAAAAACTAATAACTCAGAAGAATGGATTGGCCAAATTGTTTACAGAAAAAGAAACATGGTCCTTTAGGAATGAAAAGATGCTCAACTTCACCACGAGAGAATGCAGATTAAAACACCTAGACACCATTTCTCTGTATGATATTAGCAACAGTGCATATGTTGATGAGGCTGCCTGGAAACGTGTGCTCACCTGTGTTGGTGCTGAGTGCAGATCGGCACCACTCAACACCAGACAGAGGCGTTACCCACTGTCAGAATTACAAATGCTTTGAACGTTAATCCACCAGTCCCTACTCTGCAGATGGTCTGCTGTAAATACACCTTGCACGCATAAAAGTAAAAGATGACCAGGTTTTCAATATCAGAGAACTGGAAACAATACTGGGACCTGAAGCGGCCATGGAATAAACAGCGTTAGAGTGACAGACCCCGTAATTACCCACAGACCAGAAGGCTCTCTGGGCGCTGTTAAGTGGAAAAAGGAAAGTACGGATTCATGTTACAGCAGGCGGCCTTTTGCGTCAAAGAGGATAAATAAAAATTCACAAACACTGAGCTATTCCTCTCTTACGCTGGGAATGGGGAGAGGATGCTGTGGGTGGGAAGAGGGCAATGATGAGACTTCGTGGTCTGTGCATCTTTGTGTGCTGTCTTTTTATTTTTTATTTTATATATGTATATAATTTTTTTTTTGAGACAGAGTTTTGCTCTTATTTTGCTCAGATTGGAGTGCAGTGGTGCGATCTCGGCTCACTGCAACCTCCGCATCCTGGGTTCAAACGATTCTCCTGCCTCAGCCTCCCGAGTAGCTGGGACTACAAGGTGCCCAACACCATGCCCGGATAATTTTTTTGTATTTTTAGTAGAGACAGGGTTTCACCATGTTGGCCAGGCTGGTCTCCAACTCCCGACCCTATGTGATCCACCTGCCTCGGCCTCCCAAAGTGCTGGGATTACAGGTGTGAGCCACTGTGCCCAGCCTGTATGCTATCTTTAAAAAAAAAAAAAATTGTTTCAAGACAGAGTTTCGCTCCTGTTGGCCAGGCTGGAGTGCAAATGGCACGATCTCAGCTCACCGCAACCTCCGCCTCCCGGGTTCAAGCGATTCTCCTACCTCAGCCTCCCAAGTAGCTGGGATTACAGGTATGCACTACCACACCTGGCTAATTTTGTATTTTTAGTAGAGACGGGGTTTCTCCATGTTGATCAGGCTGGTCTGGTCTCAAACTCCCGACCTCAGGTGATCCGCCCGACTTGGCCTCCCAAAGTGCTGGGATTATAGGCATGAGCCACTGTGCCCAGCCAAAAAGATTTTCTTTAATCTTTTTTTTTTCTTCTTCTTTTGAGACAGGGTCTTGCTCTGTCACCTAGGCTGGAGTACAGTGGCACTGTCATAGCTTACTGCAGCCTCAGCCTCCTGAGTAGCTGGGACTACAAGTATGTGCCACCATGCCCAGCTAGTTTTTATTTTTCTTAGAGCTGGGGTCTCACTGTGTTGTCCAGGCTGGTCTTCAACTTCTGGGCTCAAGCAATTCTCCAGCCTCGGCCTCCCAACACGCTGGGATTAGAGCCATGAGCCATTGTGCCTGGCCTTTTATATGTTATCTTGATCTTTGAATCATGTTGTAATACCTGTTAATAAATATTTGATAAAAAATATTTGAAAAGTCTGCCTTCAAAGAGGGCAGGTAAAGGGCATGGGTACGTTACCTGCAGAACTCTTACCAGCAGAAACCTGGGTGGACACGTTCCTAGCTGAGGTGTTCGGATCCCACCCCAGTCTTTGCAGCTCCCAACCGCTCTGTGAAACACTGTGACACGGCACGATGTGTGTGTATCTGAGATTCATATAATATGTAGTGTGCTCCTTTTAGGTAGACAACATGCTTTAACCTAACATTTTGAAACCCAGAGGAAAACTTACGGGGATCACAGCTGTTATGAACCGAATGGATCCCCCAAAATTCACGTTAAACCCCTAACCCCTGGTGTGGCTGTGTTTGGAGAGGGGCCTCTTAGGAGGTACTGGCGTTAAGGTTATAAGGGTGGGGCCCTGACCCGATGGGATTGGTGTCCCTATGAGGGGAGACCCCAGAGTGCTCATGTGCCCTCCTGCCCCCAGGGGCACTCGCCCGGGACAGGCCACATGCCAGCCTCTGCGAGCCAGGAAGGAGCCTTACCAGAAACAGAATCGGCAGGACCCTTGACCTCAGACTTGCAGCCTCCAGAACTGTGAGAAAATAGATTTCCGTTGTTTCAAGCCCCCGAGCCTGCGGTATTCTGTCCCAGCAGCCTAAGCAGGCTGAAACGGTAGGTTAGGATGCTTGGTAAATAAAAACATGAATTGTCCTTGTTAGGGGTGTGAAGAAGCATTATTCAAGGGCCCTCTCCAGTGAGGTTTTGCAGTAAAGGAGAGAGACGGGGGTCAAATCCAAGTACAGGGATGGGTGGGAGCTGACAGCCCGGGAGCGGGGTGGGGACCTGTGGACAGAAATTCCTACGTGGGAACGTCAGGAGTCAGGACTCTCAGATGCCCAGTGTGGGTTTCCCCAAGCAGGCTCAGCAGGATTTGCTCAAATGGAGCCAGCCCAGGACAGAGCCCAAGGTCAGAGCCTGGTCCATGAGGGGGACTCAGAGGGGTGGACACAAGCTTGGTCTGGGAGGGTCTTTGTCAAGTCCCATTTGTTTTATTTTGCAGGCAGGAAACTGCAGCTCTTACTGCCGCTCCTCAACGTGCTGGGAACACTCCTGCCTCAGGGGCTTTGCTGTTCCACTGCCTGGGCTTTACTCAGATGGAACTTTCTTTGTAAACATTATTGATTTCTAAAATTATGGTAAAATATACATAACAAAGGTAACATCTTTTTTTTTTTGAGACAGGAGGGTCTCACTCTGTCACACAGGCTGGAGTGCAGTGGTGCAATCACAGCTCACTGCAGCCTCTGTCTCTCGGGTTCAAGTGATTCTCCTGCCTCAGCCTCCCAAGTAGCCGGGACTAGAGGCACGCACCACAACGCCTGGCTATTTTTTTTTTTTTTTTTGTATTGTTAGTAGAGACAGGGTTTTGCCATGTTGGCCAGGCTGGTCTCAAACTCCTGACCTCAAGTGATCCGCCCGCCTCACCGTCCCCAAGTGCCGGGATTACAGGTGTGAGCCACTGCGGCCAGCCCATCTTAGCCATTTTAAAGTGTGCAGTTCAGTGGTATTAGGTACACTCACACTGCTCTACAGCCTTCAGCACCCTCCACCTCCAGAACTTCTCATCTTCCCAGACGGAAGCTCAGCTCCTGTTGGACACAGACGCCTCAGCCCCGTTCCCCAGCCCCTGGCAGCACTGTTCTGCTTTCCATCTCTATGAGTGTGACTCCTCTAGGGACCCCGTATAAATGGAATCATGCAGGATTTGTCCTTTTGGGCCTGGCTTATTTCACTGACCCTAATGTCCTCAAGGTTCCTCCATATGGTAGCAGGTGTGACAATTCCCTTCCTGTTAAGGCTGAAGAATAGTCCACTGTGTGGATGTGGCACAGGATTTTCTCGGTGCCACTTCACCAGCCGGAGACCTCCGTGGTCGCTGGCGCCCCTGCCTGGCCTCACTGGGCCCAAGGCTCGCTGCTGGAGGTACTCCACACACACAGCCCAGTGGGCTGTGCTTGGCTTGCACCTCAGCCCAGATCCCACGCTTGCCACAGGTACGCTCAGTCGGTGATTGGGCCAGGCGTGCGACGACATGCTTCTGCCCTGGGCATCAGTGTCTGGGTGAGGGGAATGTGGCGGTGCCCAAAAACCCAGACACACCAGGAACTGCAGAGCCCCAAGGGTCTCACAGCTCAACTGTTCCCGCCACCCGTGGCTCGGCGATCAGGGCATGTTACAGCCCTGGTTCAGGGAGTCGGAGGTCTGGGCTCTTGGGAAACACTGCAGCTTTCCCGCTTCCCACAACTTCAGTAAACAGGGGTGTGTGGCACCCAGCGGCTTTTCCCCCACTGCTCAGCAAGCAGGAGGGAGGGTTATGGTGTTACAGCCCTTTTTTGCACCCACTGTTCTGCAGGTCCAAGTTCTTGTCCCACATCCAGAAGAATGAACTTATGCAGACAACCGGAGAGTGAGCAGGGCAGAAACAACTTTCATTGCATGAGGGACCGGCTCCCAGTGTTGAGGGGACCTGAGAATGGGCATCTGCTACCTGAAGGTGAGTAGTCTCCACCCAAAGGTGGTAGCCCCGCTGTGTGGCTGAGTCCAGGGTTTTTATGGGCTCAGAATGGGGGAGTGTGTGCTGATTGGTCCATGCGTGGGCCTAGAAAAATCCCCATTTGATTGGCTAAAAGGTCATGGACTTCACCTGGAACTGGCAGCCCGGTTTTCCAGCTTCAGGCTGTCTTTGACTTGAAGGTCAGTTTCACTGGGGACCTGCCCCAGTCTGCCTAGAATCTGTCTTCTGCCACTCTCAGAGGAACCACGCTTCGCGTATCCAGTCGCCATTCACAGGACCCTGCGTTGTCTTTGCCTCTCGGGCTTCGTGAAGAATGCTGCTGCGGACAGGGGAGTGCCCCTGCCTGTTTGTGTCCCTGCTTTCCATTTCTTTGGGAGGTAGTGGAGGGGAGATTGCGGGGTCCTGTGGTCATTCTGTGTTTGGCTCTCGGAGGAGCAGCCATCCTGTTTTCCATAGCAGCTCTGCCATCAAATGGCACTTTCTTAGTGAGGCCTCCCGGATCTCTCCCCGAAAATATTGCAACTCCTGGCTCACTTTCCTTCTTCCTGTAACTTATCACTGTGGAGCTATCAGATGTGCCCGCGCCCAGGAGAGCCAGCAGTGAGCCCCCTTGCCCTCTCCGTGGTCAGTGTCTTCATACGGGGAGTTTGGAGGTGGCTGTGGTGGGAGGACTCACTCCGCAGAAATCAGCCAGTGCTGCAGGTCAGGGGCCGCCATCCCCCAGAGCTGCTGGGAAACATTTACCAGCACACCGGCGGCCTGCTTTCAACGTCTTTCATTTGTATGTATTTTGGTCTGTTTCTCTACCTAGAAAGTGAACTCCCTGTGGCAGAAGTTTAGTCTCTCTGCTCGCTTCTTGGTTCCCAGCTCCTGGAACAGAACCAGACTTCTAGCCAGGGCTCAGGCAACGCTTGCAGGATGTTTGTTGGCACCAGGGTGTGCCAGGAGAGGTGAGTTCTGAGAGGGCAGTGTGAGGAAGGAGCAAGCCTCGTGGCTGTCTTTGGAGAGGAGGCCTGGGTGACATTTCCTGCATCCTTTCCCTTCCCCTGAGGCAGCACAATCGGCTTCTCTGTGGGCACGGAGGCCTGCTGCTCGCCTCGCTCTGCCTGAAGGGCCAGCAGCTCCATCAGTCCTGTCTGCACGGGAGAGCACCTCCATGCCTGTTAGTGCAGTGCTTCCCGGCCTTTATAATGTCAGGGCATGGCTAGAAAATGTGATTTCTACAGCACATTGGGGCCAAGTGGAGGGGGTTGGGCGCACCTCTGAGGGCCTCAGTGAAAATTTTCATTGAATTCTTTAGATGCAGTCATGCACTGCATAGCAACATTTCTGTCAATGATGCATATTCAACAGTGGCCTCATCAGATAACACCGTGTTTTTGCTTTGACTTTCCTATGCTTAGATACACAAATCCTTAGCGTTGTGTGACAATTGCCTGCAGGATTGAGAGCAGTGACCCGCTGGACGGGTTTACAGCCCAGAAGCCATAGGCTGTACCACAAGGCCTGGGTGTGTAGTGGGCTGTACCATCTAGGGGTGTGAAATCACCAAGGACACCTTCCTTAGAACCCATCCCCGTCAAGGGATGTGAGGCTGAGTAACCGGGCCGCGTGGGAGTTCAGCACTGAGCATGTTTCAGTGAGTGACTGAAATAATGAGCGTTCCGATCGGGCCCTCTCTGGCTGGCACCTGTGAACCACTCGCTTTGCGCCCATTATTTCTTGTTGCCACAACATCATTATAAACTGCTGATCGCTGTTTCTTTGTCAAACGGGAGGAGATAACGTCAGGGTCATGAGAAATGTTTGCAGAGGGAGCGAGTGCCTCGAAAGTGCTGAGACCAGGCGCTAACACCCGGAGGTCCGGTCGCTTGCGGGGTTAGCCGACACGGAATAAGCGCGGACTTTCCCTGCATCCCCGAAACTCCCCCTCCCTGGCTCGTCAGCGGCATCAGAACTCTCTCCTCATCTCTGTCAAGGCGGATGTGAGAAATCTTGCTCTCTTGTCTTCTTGCTTTGGCCAAATGGAATAAACCTTTCTCTGTCTCCAGACAGCTGTGTCGCAGTGTTCAGCATCAGCTACACAGCAGGTACATGAACCTGGTATTTGGGCTTCTACAACAACTGTACTTATAACGCCAATAAAGTGCAAAGTATTAGGGAAGACCAAAGACCGTAAGTAGCAAACTTGTATACAACTTCCAAAGAAACACTCTTCAAACATTTCATGAGCAACTTCCAGAAACATCACTTTTTCCTATCAGGTTTATAATTAAAATAGCTGTAGACTTCCCATCTACAGCTTTTTAATGATGATCTCTTGAAATTCTTTTTTGCCTCACTTTGTCGTCCAGGCTGGAGTGCAGTGAAGCAATCATAGCTCACTGCAGCCTTGAACTCCTGGGCTCAAGCAATCCTCCCACCTCAACCTCTTGAGGAGCTGGAACTACAGGTATGCACCACCACACCTAGCTAATTTTTATTTTTTTTATAAAGGCAGGATCTCTGTATGTTGCCCAGGCTGGTCCTAACACCTGGGCTCACGCAATCCTCCTGCCTTGGCCTCCCAAAGCACTGGCATTACAGGTGTGAGCAACCTGCCCAGCCTCTTCAAATTATTTTCTTCTTTTTGAGATGGAGTTTTGCTCTTGTTGCCCAGGCTGGAGTGCAATGGCACTGTCTCGGCTCACTGCAACCTCCACTTCCCGGGTTCAAGCGATTCTTCTGCCTCAGCCTCCTGAGTCGCTGGGATTACAGGCATGCGCCAACATGCCCAGCTAATTTTGTATTTTTAGTAGAGACGGGGTTTCTCCATATTGCTCAGGCTGGTCTCAAACTCCTGACCCCAGGTGATCCACTTTGGCTTCCCAAAATGCTGGGATTACAGGCATGAGCCACTGTGCCCGGCCCAAATTCTTGATAGTCACCACTGATAAGAAACTCTGGGGCCGGGCGCGGTGGCTCAAGCCTGTAATCCCAGCACTTTGGGAGGCCGAGACGGGCGGATCACGAGGTCAGGAGATCAAAACCATCCTGGCTAACATGGTGAAACCCCGTCTCTACTAAAATATACAAAAAACTAGCCGGGCGAGGTGGTGGGCGCCTGTAGTCCCAGCTACTCGGGAGGCTGAGACAGGAGAATGGCGGGAACCCGGGAGGCGGAGCTTGCAGTGAGCTGAGATCCGGCGACTGCACTCCAGCCTGGGCGGCAGAGCAAGACTCCGTCTCAAAAAAAAAAAAAAAAAAAAGACACTCTGTATGCAAAAACAGATGAAAATGTTAAACAGCCCTTCCTTTCTTTTTATGGAGAAATGTAAAGTTGCAATTAGATTTTATATCCACTCAAACATTTCCAGATCAAGAATTTTTTCATAGCATCAAAGCTCTCCATTGCAAAACACACATACATTATTAGTCACTCACCCTGCAACTCCTTTACGAGTCTCTAAAAGGGCATATTAGCCTCGAACAGTCTCCAAAACACAGCTTTTGGGCTCTGCCTGGAGCTGAGCCCCAGAGACCCACCAAACCATCTGCCAAAGCCCCCCATCTGAGCTGTTCTCCTCCTTCTTCTGCCTTGACCTCCAGCTCCCAGCAGCCCCAGGCCCTCGTCCTGAAGGTGCTTCATGGTCTGGGGCCAGCTGCTGAAATTGGGTGTGACCAGCACCCTTGGCCACACGAGGACGCACGTGCGTCAGCATGCCGTTGGCTGGCTGTTTCCCAATGTGTGCATCTTCAGTGGCTGGCTGTCCTGCTTAGCTCCCTCCTGGGAGCCTTGAGCAGAGTTATTCCTGGTTCGGGGGCTCAGGCCACCTCAGGCCCCGTGCAGCTGCCCGGAGGACCAAGGGATCAGCATTCGAAGGCGTATCTGCAAAAGACTGGACACTGTCTAATGCGCGTTTGGGTGGCACTGGTGATGGCCCGGTGCTTCCCACCTGAGAAAGCAACACACGTGTTTACAAAGGAATTCAATGACCTTTCTCCACATTGGTTTATTCAAGGATTGTAAATAACTTTATTCAATTTATAATTTTCTGAAACATTATCAGGGCTTTCTTCTATTTCTTCATGTGCTAATTCATCTCTAATTCAACATTACTGTCAAATACATTTTTCTTTGCAAAACCTCACTCGTTTCTAGAGAGTCACAGAAGATTATATGACTTTCTAAAAGGACAGAAAATAGCAATATGAATTTCAGTTCTAATTTCTCACTTACCAACCTCACACCCACCTTCAGCAGACCCTGCCACCCTCCCATGTGCCTGAGGGTCTGCCTGCAGGTGTGAGTTTGTCACTTTTCATTGTAAGAAGTTTGCCTTTTGTTCTTTTTAGAGTCTACTGGGCAGGTATTATATTGAGATTATTGGTAACAAGAGAATGAATCAAAACAGGAAAGAATGTGAAAGGTGACCTGGTTCCCTCCACAACATATCCTACAACGCAGTGCCCTAAGCTTTTTCTAAAGGCTCTGGGAAAGATTCTTGCACCATTCAACCATAGCTCGTCGGCTGCCACATTGTCATGATTCAGTGTGACACGTGTGAAAACATGGCAGCGTTGCTGACCCGCTCAGAAGGGCCTCTGCGAGGGGCTCATTAGTAGCAGTGACCTTGGTGGGACTCACGCGGCACCTCCCTGTGATGCCGTGCAGTAGCTTGCAGTGGGAGTCCCTGCGTCCTCTTCCTGCCACCTCCACTGTGCACTTGTCCTCCAAACCTACCTGAAGACCTGCAGGAGGAAGGCCTGCGACGCTCTCTTCTTGGGGTGGGGGTGAGAAAACATTTCTTCTACAAGGAGATGGTAAAACACAACCAGTGATCATGGAACCTGCCCTGAGATTTGACCAAGATGGAGGGAAGGACCCCTATGTCCTTGAGACCCCAGGAGAGGGATAGAGAGGAATTGCTGGGTCGTATACACCCTTTACGGTTACCGCACCCTTGTGGAGCTGCTTTTGCCCTTCCTAAGGGCACCAGAGTGATTGTGTATGCTGGGGCCGATGGAATCCTAGATCTGCTGAGATATGCTACTCGATCCAAAGACAATGTCTTAGGCATGGGGAGCTAGAAAATCCTGCCCTCGGAAGAGTGTCCCGGAGTTTTGCAGGGACTGAAAATGAACAGAGCTGCTGTATCCAAATTTCTGCAAATGCTGGAAGCACAGGGTGGCAGCAAAGTTTTGGGGCACATTAAGTTTGTTCCAAGTTAATTTGCTTTTTAATGCAATTATTAAGGCTGTTAGAAACTGTTCTTGTTTATACGGAAAAGTCACTGTCTTTTGTAACAATACCTGCTCACTCTCCTACTATGTCTTAACACTTCTCCTGTTAATTTCCTTGGGTTTGCCAGGTATGCAATCCCATTATCTGCTACTAATAATACTCTCATTCCTTCTTCCCCGTCCTGCTAATAATAATACTCTCATTCCTTCTTCCCTGCATTACTAATAATACTCTCATTCCTTCTTCCCTGTACTACTACTACTAATACTCTCATTTCTTCTTCCCCGTACTACTAATAATAATACTCTCATTCCTTCTTCCCCGTCCTACTAATAATAATACTCTCATTCCTTCTTCCCCGTCCTACTAATAATAATACTCTCATTCCTTCTTCCCCGTCCTACTAATAATAATACTCTCATTCCTTCTTCCCCGTACTACTAATAATAATACTCTCATTCCTTCTTCCCCGTCCTACTAATAATAATACTCTCATTCCTTCTTCCCCGTACTACTAATAATAATACTCTCATTCCTTCTTCCCCGTCCTACTAATAATAATACTGTCATTCCAGCCGGGCGCGGTGGCTCACGCCTGTAATCCCAGCACTTTGGGAGGCCGAGACAGGCGAATCACGAGGCCAGGAGATCGAGACCATCCTGGCTAACACCAACACAGTGAAACCCCGTCTCTACTAAAAATACAAAAAACTAGCTGGGCGTGGTGGCGGCGCCTGTAGTCCCAGCTACTTGGGAGGCTGAGGCAGGAGAATGGCGTGAACCCGGGAGGTGGAGCTTGCAGTGAGCTGAGATTGCGCCACTGCACTCCAGCCTGGGCGACAGAGCCAGACTCCGTCTCACAAAAAAGAAAAAGAAAAATAATAATAATAAATAATAATAATAATACTCTCATTCCTTCTTCCCTGTACTACTACTACTAATACTCTCATTCCTTCTTCCCCATCCTACTACTGATAATACTCTCATTCCCTCTTCCCCGTCCCACTACTACTAATACTCTCATTCCTTCTTCCCCATCCTATTACTACTAATACTCTCATTCCTTCTTCCCCATCCTACTACTAATAATACTCTCATTCCTTCTTCCCCGTACTGTGTCGCTTACACAGTCTCACGTCTCACGGCCTCATCTAGCACTCCCTCAACATTTTCCGTTCAGGTGATCAATTGGTGGTGAGTGCCTCCAAGCTAAGCACCATCAGTTAGATCTGTTTCTGGCCTTTAGGAAGAAGGATTCCTTGCATTTCAGCAGAAAGTGGTGCCTGCCTAAGCCCCGCAGTGGGCCGGGGGCATTTGCAGTGTGGACCACGCAGCCCAGTGGTGGCAGCAGGGCTGGGCCAGGGCATAGCGGTGGACTGACAGGGCTAGAGGGAGAGAGCGTGTGTCCGCTCTGAGATCTCTGGGGTTGTGTCCCAGGGCACCATACACGGGGGAGCGCAGGCAGGTGAGACGGGAGACAGAAGGCGGGGGCAGCGAAGGGCGATGCTTTGCCCTGGGTGATCCTGAGGCTGGCAGGGCGGCCAGTGCTGCCAGGCCCAGAGCTTTGCACTGCGTGAGGCACACGGAATGGGGGCGTTTTGAGCACATCATGAGAGACTGCTTCCGAGTTTCAAATGTCTTGAAATGTCTGTCAGACAGGGACATGCGGGTCCCACTGGAGATTTCAGTACGTATTTCTTTCTTCCACAATTTGCACAGTAACAGTCATGGCAAACAACTAATTACATGTGGTGGTTGTTGTTGGCCCAAGTGGTACGATCACGGCGCACTGCAGCCTTGACCTCCTGGGCGGGAGCGATCCTCCCACCTGTG